TATCCTTCACAAACTGGGATATGGCAGCAGCATCTCTCTTTGTACTGACATCTCCAAATCCCAATTGTCTTTCTACTATCTCACAACCTTTATCCATACGGACTATCATGCTTACCTGTTCCTTAGTTGAGACATCAGAAGTTTCATCAACCTGCACACTGATGAAGGTACACTCGTTAATCTCCTTAAAAATAGTATCTTCAATAATGGAATCAAGGCAACAGATTAAATCATTTTGTATTTCAGGAGAGACCCCAGTGAAATGTGAATCTCCACCCTGACCAGATTCAGCTAGTCTGCCATGCAATCGTCGTTCAAATACGGAATCTAACTTAGCATAGGACTCGAGTAACTCCCTGTAATTACCGCAGTTCAAGCTATCTTCAGATTCATCATGGCCTCTAAACGCCAACTCCTGTTTGGATAAATACAAAACAGCCTCAGTTATGGGTTTTAAAATTTCTCTGTTTTGCCTTACCTCCTCATTGTGGCGTTGTATCTCGTCCCTTCTTGCTTGGGAGATAAGAGAATCCACTCGAGCACCGGAACCGTACGTCTTCCAGGTCTTGAAAGCAGCCATGTGTGACTTCGCCTTTTCATGCTTTTTGCAATCAGAGAGGAAGCCATGCATGTCGCTATAACCATTCTTGCTCCAAGTCGGCGACTTTCCAGGGCAAAACAAAAGACACGGCCAGCAAAATAATCTTTTTAACTCTGTGCTACCACAAAGCCAATCCTTCTTTTCATACCAAGCCATTTGAAAAGATCTCCCTCTCGCACTAATACTCAAATTCGGCACTGGCCTTTGCTTAACAATAACATTTTGTTCCGCAGTTGCTTGAACAGAAAATGAGTTTCTTAACAAAGAATTTATGATATCAGCTTCAGTTGAAGCTAGATTCGTCACGCTTGCTGAAGCCATTACAAAAACACTCGCTCAAAGACAATAACTATGCAAACTACGCTCAAGTGTGTGTACTCATGCGGAAACCTCGCAAGAAAAGGCAATACAATATGCAGCTCCTGCCTTGTCAAGATAGGAGTGCGGAGTTGTAACCAGCCAATTATGAGTGAGTAAGAGGCCATTTATCCAATCAGAATTGAGTATTTTCTTTTATAGAATATTATAGCAGCTCCTGCCTTAGCAAAATAGCAGGAGTGAGCCATTGATCTATATATATTATAATTATATCATATATATGTCATATATGTTATTAGGCCTGAAGCATCAATGCGTGGGATCAATTATATTTGCTGGCGCGAGCTTCCGAGTGGTAACTGTTGCTAGAAACGAATCGAAAAATATAGTTGCGGAATATATAAGGCTTAGGCTTCAAAATTATTTCATACATTTTTTTGGAGTGGTTTTTTCAAAATTTTGGGGAAATTTTTAGTCCTGCTGGGCAGGACGAGCAGGACCGGTAGCTACGCCACTGTCAACAATTAAATTTCACTTCAGTGCTACAATCTCGAAGCTGTACGGTAAATATTTACAATTCTTGTCAACAATTACAGGGAATATCTGAACTTCTAAAACCGAAGGCAGAGGGGTGTTCAACAATAGAATCAGAAGATTCAACTGATGAAGAACTATGTGATGAGCCAGGCACATCGGGGACATTCGACATATCGATCGAATGTCCAACAATGAGCCCTCAAACCTACAGCCGAGAAAAATCCACCCAAACGCGCCAGAAACTAGGGAAAAGGTCAGTGAAGATCCAGACCATTATGACAGCAACATCCACATTTTTTCAAACAGAAATTAATGTGCCTGTGACTATCTCCAGATCTGTCTCGCAACAGTCACAACTCGAAATTATAGACAATGAAAAAGAACTTGTCGAGATAGAGGAAGAACTTGTCCATGAAACCGCAACAGAAGTTGAAGCACGTAGTCGAACAAGCGACGAATCACTAACAGAACAAACTACAGAGTTTGTTCCATTTGACATTGAGGCATCATCCACAGAGAGCGAGGAAAGCAACAAAGATCTGGATTCGAACAGGCGGACATTGCTAGTCAAATGCAAATCCTCTCAAGACCAGATTAGATTTATTATTTTTGAAGACGCCATAGTCGAGGCGTTTGGGAAGTGTGGTCAATGCGAATCAGATTGTGTTGTGTCGATGGAAAATCAGATTGGCGCATCGTGCAAAATTAGCAGCCTCTGTACAAGCGAAAGAAATCACCATTTTGAATGGATAACTGGTCCGTCGCTGTTCAAAATGCCAGCATTTCATTTGCTGTTGGCATCTGGAATCTTAGCGACAGGTATGGAAACATCTAAAGTTCTTCGACTATTTAACGCCTTGAACATACCTAATGTGAAGCAAAGGGAGATGTCAAATATTATAAAGAATTACACCATTCCCGCGGTATACAAAGTCTGGCAAGATGAACAAGCTGCTAGACTGCGAGAAATAGAAGGTGAACCCATTGTGATTGCGTCGGATATGCGTGTTGACAGTCCTGGCCACACAGGTTTATTTGGGTCGGGAAGCACTCTTGACATGGGAAGAAATCTAATATTAGACACGCAAGTAATCAAGGTGAGCAAATATTTAGTTTTTGATTTTGTATGGCAGTTTAAAACATTTAATGTAAGTTGTTTTGATTTTTTATAGTCAACAGAAGTAAAAAATTCAAATGCCATGGAGCTGGAGTCTCTAAAGAGGCAATTAAACTACATAGAGGACAGAGACATCCAGGTAACCAAGTTGGTAACAGATCGCCATACCCAGGTGTCAGCATTCATGGCAAATGAGAAACCTGGAATTGAGCATTCCTATGATGTGTGGCATGTTGCAAAAGGTAACAAAATTATGTATGTCTGGCTATTATTTGAATTTCAGTTCCATCCAGCATAACTGACAGTTCAGTGAACAATTGCATACCAGTATGTCACCCTCACTGATTAGAATATGAGAAAAATGTTTTAACATTTTTAAGGTGAGAAGAAAAAACTTACAAAGATTGCCAAAAAAAAGAAATTGTTTCGAACAGCTGAACTTTATTACTTTGTTTACATTTTATATATCGTTTTGTTAACCCGCGCGGGACTAGGCGCGAGATCGCGAAAAGGGGACTAGGACGTTGCCAAGGCAACGAGAACAACGTGGTCGAAAGATCGTATTAATGTCGTCTTAAAGCTATTGTAAGGGCGTTTTATATGTCAAATAAAGGTGTTTATTTAAATCGAAAGTCGCCAGTAGAGTAAAGCCTGCCGTCTCTAACAGCTGGTCCTTCGAAAGCCGGATGAAATTATGCCTGATACGAATGAAATCGAGAAATTTCGATCGAAAAAGAAGGTTGCAAAGTCGAGCATAACTCGAAATATAAACCGAGTTAGGGAGCTCATAAGCAATAAAGACAGCGTCACTAAGGTACGTCAATATGCCAAAAATATTGAGGATGCAAGACAAAAGGCTTGTGACATTATAAGAGAACTGGAACAAATAGATCCTACGTCTATTGAAACTGATGGAGAATGGCTTGTACAGGTTGAGATGGATGTGACCGAAGCCCTAGGTGAGGTTGGAGACTATCTTGTAGAATCTAGTCAAGAAAAGCCTGTGAGTTCTTCTGTAAATAATAATGAACAGTCTGTTGTACAACCTACTGAGCAGTTAAACGAACAGTCGTCTCAGTCAACGGGCGAAGATCCCACAGTTGTGTCTGGAGGAAGTCAACACAGCCGTTCGGGTGGCTTGAAGGGGGTAAAGGTACCAACTTTTGATGGAAGCCCGGACAAATGGCCATATTTTTGGGGTATATTTAGTGCACTTGTGGACAAAAATAACTCTTTGTCTGATGCAGTGAAATTGGCACATCTAAATAACTCTATCAACAGCAAAGTGAGAGAAGTAGTTGCCTGTTTGACGGGGGAGCCAGGGGATTACCAAAAGGCCAATAAGTTACTTAGTGATAGGTATGGGGACCCCGTGAAGTCGTTGATGCTCATTTGCGCCGCATAACAAATTGGCATTATATTAGAGAAAAAGACCGTGAGGGATTTGAGCGATTTGCCGATGCCTTACAGGCAGCCGTATTTGCCCTAGATAAGCCAGATTATAAGCATGAGCTAAGTAGCATACCCCTCTGCACGCAGTTAGTCCGCAAGCTGCCCCCTAGTGAGAAGGATGAGTGGGTAAGGCAAATTGAGCGCAAGCAGGCAACTGAAACAGTTGAGGGATTAGCAACATGGGCCCAGTCACGAGCTAGATCAATGCGCAAACGTGATCGCTATAATGACCCAACCCGGCAACGGGATGACCCTAAGTTACACCCAAAGTTTCCGCCAAGGAAGTCTTTGCTAGCAAAGAGGGTAGGGAAATGTGCATTGTGTGAGAGTGCTGAGAAACATAAGGAGAGTGAATGCCCAGGGTTTTTAGCTGCTAGCGTGAATCAGCGTTGGGAAATTGTCAAATCAAAAAGGGTATGTTTTGGTTGTTTAGGGCTAGGGCACCAGCGCCGCCAATGCACTGCGCCTAAGTGTGGAGTTGATTCTTGCGAGAAAGGCCACCATAAGCTTCTTCATGTTGCGCCTAATTTACCTGCGCCTATTTTACCCACTGCAGGCCAAACCCTTGAGCCACAAGGGGTTCACTGCGGCAAAGCACAAGCAAAGGTTCCAAGCCAGAGTAAGGTTGCGCTAAAAACCATTGTTGTCCCTTTTGTTAGCGACAGTGGAGAAATAGTGAGGGGGGCTGTACTCTTAGATTCAGGGAGTGAAACAACACTGATTAGGACTGGGTTTGCCAAACAGTTAGGGGTACAAGGTCAAAGGCAAAATCTCACTGTTGATGCTGTGGGCGGAGTGCGTACCACACTTAAGTCGCAACATGTTCGTCTTCCGTTTGCTCCATCCGTGACGAAAGTTGATGTATATGCATGGACTATAAAGAACATATGTGAGCCAGTCCAGGCTATTGACTGGACTGAGATAAAGAAACGATATGAACATTTGCATGATGTCCCTATTGAGTCAGTGGGGGACATGACGGTGGATGTGTTACTTGGTCTTGATGCTGCCTCCTTGATGGCACCATTGGATGTGAGGCGTGGTGAGTTTGGGGAACCATATGCAGAGCTGACATCACTCGGTTGGGTAGTTGCTGGTCCGGTGCCGGTCTCGAACAGTCAAGGAAAGCGTATATTGCGGGTGCAAGTGTCAGAAGAAGAGCAAGATGCCAATTATCAATTGCGAAAGTTTTGGGAGATCGATACTTTCGGAGTTCGTGTAGAAGCCACCACCCAGTTTACGCGAAGCGACCAAATAGTCATGGACATGATGAATGAAACGTGTCGTAAAGTAGAATCAGGTTACGAGATGGGATTGCTTTGGAAAGTTGATAGACCACCATTACCGAACAACTTTGAGACAGCCTTGAGTCGTCTAGAGTCTGTAGAACGACGTCTACAGAAGGATCCCAAACTTGCTGAGGGATATTGCAAAGCCATCAACGCATATGTGGAGAAAGGGTTTGCCCGCAAACTGACGCCTGAAGAGCACATTGTTAATGGAGAACAATGGCTGCTGCCACACCACCCAGTAATCAGTCCACACAAACTATTACCAAGAGTTGTGTTTGACTCTGCAGCAAAACACAAGGGTGTCTGCCTCAACGACTGCCTCGAAGCAGGGCCAAGCCTTCATAATGATCTGCCAGGTATCTTGTTGCGGTTCCGTGAACGACCGATTGCACTCGCAGGTGACGTCTCAGATATGTTCTGCCATGTTCGTTTGAGAGAAGAAGACTGCAAGTATCATCAATACCTGTGGCGTGACATGGACTCAACCAGACCACCAGACGTCTATGAAATGAACTGCCTAGTGTTTGGTGACAAGTCGTCACCATGCGAGGCAAATTTTGCCGTTATCCGAACGACAGAGGATAACAAAAAGCAATGGCCAGAAGCAGCTGCTGCCGTGAGACGTGACATCTTTGTCGACGACTTCTACTCTTCCTGTGTTGGTGTGCCCCAAGCGGTGACTTTACGAACAGACGTCACTGCTCTGATGGCTAATGGAGGTTTTCCTATGCGAAAGTGGCTGTCATCATCGCCAGACGTACTATCAACAATACCCGAGGCCGATCGAGCCATTTCAAATGAAATCCTACAACATGGTGACCTGCCATCTGGGCGAGCATTAGGGATCAGATGGGATGCGCAATCAGATACTCTAGGACTTGCCTATGCTCATCTTGATCGTCCATCTGTGCAATTGACGAAACGGGGTGTTCTTACGAAATTAGCTGGCCTATATGATCCATTGGGATGGTCAAGTCCATTTACGGTTCGTGCGAAGATTATCCTGCAACGAACATGGTCCCGGGGCCTAGATTGGGACATGCCCTTGCCAACTGATATTGCTGCTGAATGGTCAAAGTGGGAGTCCGAGATGCCTGCTCTAAAGTCCTTTGCTGTCCCTCGTTATGTCTACAGTTGTCAGCAGAAACGTTAACGAGAGAACTTGTGGTTTTCTGTGACGCATCCGAGGATGCCTGCGCTGCTGTCGCCTACGTACGTGCCACTTTGACTGACGGGGAGATTACGTGTCATCTAGTGATGGCGAAGACACGCCTTATGCCACTGAAGACCATATCGATACCTCGCGGAGAGTTGATGGGTTGTCAACTAGCAGTGCGCCTCGCGAAGACTATCTGTGAACAGTTAGATCTGAGCATGTGCCACGTAACGTACTTGACGGACTCGACGACGGCGATCTGGTGGATCCGTGGTGAGCCCCGCAACTTTCGACCCTTTTGCAAATCGTGTGGCTGAGGTGATATCTGAAAGCGATCCAGGGCAATGGCATCACGTACGGACGAAGTTGAATGTGGCAGATATCGCAACCAGGGAGCAGCTGCCGTTGACATTCAAGGAGAGTCAGGTGGATCACAGGACCTGATTTCTTGAGATCTGACAAGTCAGAATGGCCGATTGATGACGTATGTCGTTCTGCTGCCCGACGAAGGCCGAAGCTGAATTGAAGAAGAAGGTCCTACGAGTACAAGTCCAAGCTACCAAGCTAATCGATCCAGCTGCTTATTCGAGCTGGCTCAAGCTTCTCGTGTCACAGCTTGGGTTATGCGAGTTTGTCACAACCTACGAAACGAAGATAAATGCAAGAGTGAAGCGCTGGGTGTCCAAGAATTGGAGAAAGCCAAATTGTATTGGATCAAGTGGGCACAACGAGATCGGTTTCCAGCTGAGGTCGAAGCACTGTCGAAAGGTCGCCCGGTTTCTCGAGACAGTCGAATTGCCAGTCTTGACCCGCAGCTAGTTGATGGAATACTACGTGTCGGTGGACGAATTGACAAGACTGAACTGCCGTGGGATGCAAAACACCCGATTATACTAGACCACGCGCATGACATTACCCGTCTGATCGATTATCATCGCAAGTTGATCCATGCTGGAGTTGAACATGTATTCAATCACATCCGAGAAAGGTATTGGATTCTACGCGGTCGTGCGGAAGTCAAGAATTGCACGCTCAAGTGTCCGCTCTGCCACCGGCGTCGCGTCCGTCCGATGACCCAGAAAATGAATGATCTACCTGACATACGTCTTAGTGTTCCATTCCAGCACGTGGGTTTGGATTACGCGGGGCCATTTTCCGTCCGTAATCGAGTCGAGAAGCGGTACATCTGTTTGTTCCCCCGTCTTCATATGCGTGCTGTGCATCTTGAAGTAGCCCATAGCCTGGAGGCGGATTCGTTTATCATGGCGCTTCGACGTTTTCAAGCTCGCCGAGGAAATCCAGTGCGTATCCTGAGCGACAACGGGACGAATTTTGTCGGCGCGGAGCGTGAGTTACGGGAAGCGTTGAATGAGCTTGATCCTAAACGTGTTGCTGATGAACTCAGTGCTCGGGGAGTAGAATGGAAGTTCAACCCGCCAGCTGCCCCATGGTTCGGTGGAGCATGGGAGTCTCTGGTAAAGTCTACAAAACGTGCAATGAAGGCAATCATGGGTAACGTCCTCACGGTTGATGAAGTCTTTCTCACAGTAATCGCTGAAGTAGAGTCTCTCCTGAATTCTCGCCCACTCGTGTATGGTGGGAGTAGCAGTTCACCCACGGATACCAGTGTCCTAACCCCCAATCACTTCCTTCATGGGCGGGCAAGTTCAAATCTTACGCCAGGAGAATTTGTCAAGCAAGATATGTCGTTACGGCGTCGATGGCGTCACAGTCAGTTTTTGGCGAATCAGTTCTGGAAGAGATGGAGGAAAGAGTATGTACCGCATCTGATTGAACGCAGCAAGTGGCGTACGATACAAAGAAATCTTCGTCGAGGGGACCTCGTGCTTATCGTGGAAGACAATGTTCCAAGAGGTCAATGGCGTCTTGGTCGAGTCATGGCACCGATTGCCAGTGCAGACGGACTCGTGAGGTCAGCCGAAGTCGTGACAAAAACTGGGACTTATACCCGTCCGGTGGGCAAGTTGGCGTTGCTAGAAGCGCACCATGAGGAAGAGTGACGTTTCCCGGGGTTCACGCCACGGGCGGGGGTGTTTCGAACAGCTGAACTTTATTACTTTGTTTACATTTTATATATCGTTTTGTTAACCCGCGCGGGACTAGGCGCGAGATCGCGAAAAGGGGACTAGGACGTTGCCAAGGCAACGAGAACAACGTGGTCGAAAGATCGTATTAATGTCGTCTTAAAGCTATTGTAAGGGCGTTTTATATGTCAAATAAAGGTGTTTATTTAAATCGAAAGTCGCCAGTAGAGTAAAGCCTGCCGTCTCTAACAGAAATTCAAATCAATTGGGCCATGGATTGGGGTAAGTCTGACATATAATTTGTGGAAAAATATATGGAATATATGGTGTATAGTATAGAACCTACTTCAGATGTTACAGATTGTTCAATATATTTTACTGTCCCTCTTACAAAAATATATTTGTTCATTTCTTTGAGAGTCAATCATCTACTGGGTTGGTGCTTCTGGAGCGACCAAAGATGAAAGGGAAGAAAAGTGGCTTAGCATCCTCAATCATATAGTGGACATTGAAGGCCATAAAATTTTCACGGAATGTCTACATGGCACACTTGAAAGACAGTGGTTAAAGCAAGGTAACTTGCAGAAGATTTAATGCATTTGTTGGAATTAAATAAAATCAATTGCTAATTTATTAATAAACATATGTCCATCTCAGGATCAGCTGCCTACAAAAAGCTAGAGGAAATGCTAACCAAACCTTGACTCATCACAGCCATTAGAAAATTGTCCCAATACCATCAAACATCTGGCTTGGAAGCAAAACATGCTTTGGACAACACCCTTGCTTCAAAGAACACATATCATTCATATCACTCATTAAGTGCAAGGTTGGTTTTTATTGCTTGACATTGTTTGAAATTAGGCCATTATAAACAACACATTCCATTTTCATATTATTCAGGTTGTATTGTTCAAACTTGCATTTCAATGAGAACAGTGATAGAAAGCAAGCAACTACATCTGAGGGGAAATTAAGATGGACAATCGCTTACCCAAAGGCATTTAAGGGGGAAAAGGCTGTTACCAAACCATTGAAAGAAAAACCAACATATGGTAAGTACTTAATTTTGCTTCTGTATAAACCTGACTATATTACAAGCAGGTAAGGTCAATAGTCAATAAGAGTTGGAGACAAAAAGTATTTCAAGTATACCTACTGCTGCTGTAAATATACTTTAACAACATAATTAAATAATATTTTAATTATATAGGATATGTACAATTGATACTCAAGGAAACTATTCAATTGAGAAAACAATATCCAACTATCAAAAAGGCAAAAGACCATGCAAACAATGTGCTTCCAATTGAACCGGCAACACTTGTTGAAAAGTATTTGGTAGGAAAAGAGAGACCTTCCAAGGAAGAGGTGATAACCAGCAGAAAGTCACGATTCAGTACGCCAGCCCTACCTACAAATAGCAAATACCATATAAACAATGGGATCTAATTTGTAATAAAAACCGAAGCTAAAAGAGGCTCCTGTTCAATTAAAGTTAAGCATTTTTTTGGCCAAGTTCCCTAAGTTCAATTTCCAACTTTTCTAGTTCACTTTGTTTCTCCTTTACAGTATTTCTAAAACTAACCGACTTGTTAAGGAGTGCTCTCATTTCATCATTTTTAACACACTTAGTTGCCTTTGTGGCAAGATCATCCGAAGCCATGTTCAGGTTCTTAATATCACTTTCTAGTACTTTCTGGCTACCAAGTAGAAAAAATTATATCCAATTTAAAGGCAATTTTGCGACGAAAATTTGCATAAATTATATTGAAACCCTTGAGATAATTTTCAAATGTTGCCTAGTTACAGGCAAACAATGTGAATTCTCAAAGTATTGTTTTGATGAAAAGTTACCTTGTTTTATATTGGGATAATTTCTGCAAAGTTTCAGGGTAATTGATAAAAAGCATGTATTTTTTTCTAATTTTTGAATTTTACACCTCGGAAATGCTAAAATCTGGTTATGGGACACATTTGCATAGGTTCTATTTTGAAACAATTTTGAAACTATGCCACAGTCATATATTTATGTATATTAAATAATAGTGGTAATAGTCTTTCAGAATTTAACTTTTTCCATGTATTTCTGCAATCCACAGGCTGTTCATACTTTGCAAAATAGAAGTTCGAAACTAACCAACGCCCAACTTTGGCAAATCAATTCCTAGGGCACAAACCAATATATCTCTGCCCACATTTTTATATATAACTGCCATTTTTGTGGTCTGCACATTGAAAGAAAAGTTTTTAAGGAGCTTGATATCTTACAAACAGGCACTCATACCCACAGCACTAAGATTGTAGATGAAGCGAAGCATTCATAATTCAAATAATAGACAGACTTTGAACACAGAGTAGAAAACCTTTATTGAAAATAAAATGCATGTATTTATATAAAACAGAGTTCATCACAAATGAAAAAACATATGTTATGATTTGAATGGTAATCACAATGGAGAAATATGACAAAGTTCATCCTAATTCTCAAAAGCAGAATTATTTATGACCTTCCAGCATAATCTCTACTATGCCAAACACTGAAACAATCAAACTCTCCACACCTGCATGCATATACTTGTTGCACTGTGGCGCACTGCAAAAAGTTGTACACCTCTACCCGCTGCATAACATGCAACACAGTGTATTCGGACTCCCTCGGTTGTACAAACTAAATGAGCAGTGCAGTACTGATCAGGTGGAGGTACAGGGTGAACTGTCTCATATATAGGTGGTCTCTCATATTCTGATATTGCAAGTCTGTCTAATGATCTCTTCTCTAAATTTAACAGTAGTATAACTTTTCGGGCGATTCAGAAGTGGATTGTTTGGATTGTCCTTATGATGTTTGCTGAAAAGAAGATAACCGTTAACAACAGCAGTATTAATAAGATGGAAGAACAAAGTCTTCCACCACCTATAGCACTTACAAGACACATTATGGCAAGCAAGCATTTGTTTGTCTCTTCCATTCACTTTCTCATTTGCCGAATAAATAGATGTTACTAATGAGACTGGCTTATTGTCAATTCATTGCATCATTAGGACTTTTGATTCTCTCTCCCAATGCATCATACTTCCTTGATCTTTCTTCTTTGCCCACTCATTCACATTGTTGCAATTTTATTGTTATGTCTGTTCGATAGATTTTGCCTGTCTGTCAATGTCTTCCTTGTTTGCTGCATGCTTTAACAATTCTTCAAGTGAATAGCTTTTAACCGTTGCTTCGCGGCAAAGTATCCCATCGGTTATTGTCTGTAAAAGTTTACTTTGAATGGCGTCATTTAAATCAGAAAATTTGCACTTTGCGGCTTGAATTCTCAGCCGAAAATGACACTGAGCGACTGATTTATCCTTGTTTTTCAACAATCTTGGCAAACTTGCTACAAGCGCTGTCAGAGTTTGTTATGGGGATAAAATAATTGTCCAATTTGGCGATAATTTTTTCAAACTTGTTGTGTTGTTCACCTTCACACTCGGGTACATTCTGTAAAGTGTCTATGAGCTTGTGTATTAACTCACCTCCATAGATATTTTTAGCATCTACCATATAATGAAGATAAACTAAATGTCAACTATTAGGTCATGTTTTACAAAATAAGAGAATATGGCATAGATTCCAATCAGATTCCTGATTATAAATAACAATACCAGCGTAACTTGAAATTAATGAAGATATACTAGAATCCAAACTATTAGATCACGTTTTACTAAATAAGAGAATTTGGCATAGATTCCAATCCATATAGTATAATTACTATGAGATTAGAAGGTAAGATTCCAATCCGATCCCTAATTATTATTAACAATACCAGTCTAACTTGAAATTAATGAAGAATTACTAGAGTAGAATTCCAACTATTAGATCATGTTTTCGTAAATAAGAGAATTTGGCATAGACTCCAATCCATGCTAGTATAATTACTATGAGATTAGAATGTAAGATTTCCATCAGATCCCCCATTTAATTAACAATATCAGTGTAACTGGAAATGAATGAAGATAAACTAGATCTCAACTATTAAATCATGTTTAACTAAATAACAGAATTTGGCATAGATTCCAATCCATGCTAGTATAATTAGTATGAGATTGGAACGTAAGATTCCAATCCGATTCCTGATTATAATTAACAATACCAGTGTAAATGGAAATCAATGAAGAATTACTAGAATTCCAACTATTAGTTAAGGTTTTACTAAATAAGAGAATTTGGCATTCATTCCAATCCATACTAGTATAATTACTATGACACTGGAACGTAAGATTCCAATGTGTTCCCCAATGAATGAACATAAACTAGATCTCAACTGTGAAATAATGTTTTACTAAATAAGAGAATATGGCATAGATTCCAATCCATACTAGTATAATTAGTATGAGATTGGAATGTAAGATTCCAATCCGATCCGTGATTATAATTAAGAAATAATAGAGTTCCAACTATTAGATCACATTTAAATAAGTTTAAATAAGATCTTGGTAAAGAAGTTTTTATTATATACCATTTGGCAAAGAAAACCAAACAACGGTGAAAGGTGAAATATCTATTCATAATTCATAAAATCATAAGCTATAATTTCAAATGGATAAACAGTCTAAAGGTTGCACATCCAGGTGCGCTACATGTCCAGCAGTGTTGCGTTCTAGATTTTGCTGTGAAAAGCTGTGCTTTTCAGGCATTTTAAGATGGATACAGTAGCTACCGTTCTTAGTCTTGTCACCACAAGCATGTATATGGCATCTATTGATTTAAGACATGCATACTACATTATTTCTATTGTGACTGAACATCAAAAATTTGTTTGGAAGGGCCATTTGTTTCAATTTACCACATTACATATGGGCCTTTCTAGTTCGCTCCGGGTTTTTACCAAGGTCATGAAGCCAGATTTATCTGTCCTTCGTCAGCAGGGTCACATCATTTGTATAGATTTCTATTTCCAAGGTCAAGTTTTTCAGAATGCGCTGCTGAT